GTATGAGCTCCAGTTAAAGAATGCTATGGAACTCAACAGGAAACGTAAGAGACTAGGCGGACATTAGATTTTTACATATAGTAAAATGGGTTTCTTTGGAAGAATAGGAAACTTCTTTCGAAATGTTGGAAGAGGTATATGGAATGGAATAAAATCTGTCGGAAGAGGAATTTGGAACGGAGTCAAAAATATTGGTAAAAGAGTAGGTCAGTTCGTTGGTATTATACCTAAAGACCCTGAACCAGAAGAACAAGCTCCTGTTATACAACAGCCTGAACCTGCACCACAGTCTAGTTGGCAACCAAATCCAACACCTCAACCGTATTAAAAAATTATATTTTTATCGTTCGATAGTAGTTGTATATGAAACTAAGTTCTAAGTAAAACGCATGGTATAATGGAATTATTCTTTTTCTTCCATCTGTAGTAAACCATACTTGAAAGTCTGAAATACTTCCACTTGGTGGTTCGTATAACTTTGTAGGTTTTTCGTAAAAGTCATTTGCCAAGCATAAGAAAGATTTTGGGCGCCAGAAAATGAAGCATGAACTATCACAGCATCTTGGTCGAAAACATCTTTAAATAAATATGGTTCATCTCTTGCATATCGACTGTAGATATTTGCTAAAGGAGGTTCAACTTTCTGATTTAACATTCTTTGCAAATAATACCATGACATTGCAGTGAATTCTGTATATATTTGTTCGTCTTTATTTGGATTGTCTTCGTAGATTTGAAATGACACTTGTGAATTTTGTTTGTCATATACAATTCTCACATAAAGTGTGCTATCGGTATTCGCATATTCATCAGCATATTTGCATAACATGAATTTATTTTATCTTCTATATTTTTTAATGCAGTCTGTAGAGAAGATGAGAGGTCAACTTGTATTAGCTCAATTTCTTCCCACATTTTCGTTGCCCTTCAGATGTATAATCTATATGAAACCTTACAATAAATGGAAAACTTTTATCTTCTACAGACACAAACTTTATTCTTCGAAAGCCAATAGCTTTTCTGACAGATGGGTCTCTTAACCATCTTAATGGGTAGTCAAAACGATAGCCTTCATGCTTTACGGTATCTGTCTCAAACTTTTGACCGACATTAGTAAAAAGTTCATCTAATGGTTTAGTTGTAGCAACTCTAGAATTTTCTTTTTCTATTGGAAGCATATTTTATCTATAATAAAAATGTCAAATGAAACAGCGTCTATGAGAGAAATACAACACAACCGACAACTCATTATGCAAGCTCTAAATAAGAACACAACAAACTTTTCAAACTATTCTAAGATATCTGAGTCATTGAAAGAAGGAAACTTAAAACTGACATTAAACCCAATGACAGATGAGTTTCTATTTCAAGACAAGAAGAACAATACTGTCTGTATAAATCCAACAAAAGGAACTTTAAACGAGAAACCTATAAATGAACTTCTTTTGAAAGCAGATGTTGACAACAAAGCTGACAAAGAATATGTAGACGATGCAATAGCAAAAGAAGAAGAAAGAGCTAACAATGCTTATGCAACAAAAGAACATACTCATCCTGAACTAGCAGACAAAACATATGTTGACAATAAAATGTCAAGTGAAGTGACAAGAGCTGAAAACGAATATTCTAAAAAGACTCATATACATTATATTAACCAAATACCAAGTCTTAAGGAAACATTAGAGACAAAAGCAGATAAGACTCATACACATTCTATATCTGATATTACAAACTTACAAGAAACCTTAAACAGGAAAAGTGACGTTGGACATACACATTCTATATCTGATATTACAAACTTACAACTAACTTTAAACAGGAAAAGTGAGGTTGGACATACACATACCATTGCAAATATTACAAACTTACAAGAAACCTTAAACACTAAAGCAAATAAGACTCATACACATACAAGTTTTACAACTTTTACAGCAGATGATATTACACTAAACACAACCTTGCCAAGTAAAGGTCCAACAATACCACCGGCAACAAGTCTTGTAGATACTTTGATATCTAATGACAATAGTATTATGCATCTAAGACAGGAACTCAATGTGCTTAAACAAATTTTGCCGAAACTTATTTACCCGGTTGGCTCATTATATGTTTCAATGAACTCTACCAGACCAGAAGTAGTACTTGGTTTTGGAACTTGGACTCAAATAGTCGACAGGTTTTTGTATTGTGCAAACTCTTCAAAGGAAACAGGTGGAAGTAAAACGATTTCAGGTGCAAATTTACCTGCACACAGTCACTACATAGATTTAAGTACATCTCAAGCAGGTTGGCATAGTCATAGATATGTTGGTTGGTCAGGAATGACAAAAGGTAAAGGATATGATGTTAAAGACGATGTTAAGTTTGCTATAAATTGTTACTGGAGTGACACTCAGGGAGAAGGAAACCATACACATTTCGTTTCAGGATATACACAAACAACGGGACAAAGTAAAGAATACATGCCACCTTACATGACAGTTTACGCATGGTATAGAATTGCTTAGTCATCATTTTCAACTTCTTTAGCATATTCGTCAGGAGTTGTCTTATATTTGTTAGGAACTGTCTTTGAAAGTATACCACCTTGAACTTTGACAAGTTTGAAACGAGGTCTGGCAATAGTAGTTTTATCTTCTGCTTGCAGTGTGTACATTTTGCCATGTTTGCCTAAAACTTCATAATATTCTCTTGTATACTTTCTTCTATTTTTACGAACACGAATGTGAGTACCTGTCGGGTTCCCATTGTTGTCATAGTCAATAGTATTTTCATATGGGTCGCGTTTAGGTATTTCTATTTTTACTTTGTCACCTTTCTGAAGTTTGAAGCCCGGCATTCTTTCTTGTTTGTCTCTTTTGACTAAATTATTAAATATATAGTCTTTCTCTAAGTCAGGGTTGTTTTTCATTTCTTCGGGGGAGTGGTTTCCCAAACCTTTTTGTTTACGTTATTGTAAATATTTTAAAACTTGTCTCATCTTTGCCATGGAGAAGTGTCTATACTTGTCGTCATATGACATTTCATTTGCTTCACCACCTTGTGGTTGGTTTAAGTCTCTTAACATTTTTATACAACCGTCAATGACACCAAGAGCAGAATGGTTTTGGTCGACAATGAAATATTGGTTTACATTTTTTGAACGCAGATAGTTTTTTACATCATCTGATTTGAAAAACTTTCACAGTCAGATGTCAGTTTTGTTGGATGGTATTTGTCAAACGAATATTGTCAAAGCAGTTTTCACATCTAAAATATTTTTTGGACCATAATGGTATGGCTTCACAGTATCTTGTGTTTTGACCAACAAATATTAACTAGTATGGAGGTCCATCTGTTCTAACTCTCGGAATGTTTCCAAGATATCCATAAACCAAGCATTTGGTGTTGAACTAAAGATTTTTATCATGAGTGCTTTCTTTGTCGCTTTAGAAACATAGGGGTCCTTATTCGGATTCGTCATTTTTTACCCTATAAGAAATGGGTTTATTTGGCGCATTAGCAGGAGTTGCATCCAGATTTTTGCCCGCAGTGGGAACAATAGCCAAAGGTGCATTTGGAGTTGGAAGGAAGATTTTGAGTACATTAGGTATACTTAAAGAGAAAGCACAACCTATTATACAAACTGTACAAAGGTTGGGATGTAGCACGAGATGCAACAAATCTTATTCCAAATCCTGAAACAAGAGGAAAAGTTCAAGGATGGATGGACAATGTAGGAAGACAAGCAGGAAACTATTATAACAAAGCAAATGACTACTATAACCAAGCAGGACACTATATGGACCAAGGTGAAAGATTCTTTAACAGAGGAATAACCATGCACAACAGTGGGTAAACAATAACCAACCTCAACCGCCTCAAACGTGGGGAATGTAAATTTTTTACTGAGATGAAATGAACAAATGCAGCATTGAGACAAATGAGTTCAAGATGGATTTGTAGGCTTCCAGCATTTACACCACGCTGTTTTGTAAAGTTCTTTCCTATACCTCAGGAAGTTTTAGACCGACTTAAAAAACCTAAACAACCAGTTGAAAACAAACCAAACTAAATTTTTTTATGAGATGAAATGACCGAAGAAGTTGAAACGGTAGATTTGACACCACAAACAAAAAGTTCAGAACCATTGTCAAAACCTGTCAAAGAACTTACAGATGAAGAGAAAAATTCAATAATAGAAAGTGCCAGGTCTGGAAATACAAACCCTAACTATAAAGTCACTTTTCATAGAAATGGAACGGCTAGTATCTCAAAAAGAAACAGACTCTCACAAATAAAATATTGAAGTCTGAAGGAGCTTTCGAGACAACAGATGGAAAAGTTTACTTCACTGACCAACAGTTCATTATAGAACATCTCATTGACTTAGAGTCGAAATATTCTAAACTTTACAACAAACACAAAAAGTTGAAAGGAAAACAAAAACAAATGGCATATGATATTTATGAAGATGTTGACGACACAACTGTTCCTGCAAGTGAAGTAAAGTCAGAGAAACCGAAAAGTGACGAAAAACCGATAGAAGAAGAAAAACCAAAAACTGAAGATAAACCAAAACCAAAGTTTAGTTTCCAAACTAAACCAAGTCAACCTTCATTAGCTGGTATGGGTTGGCGTCAAAGACTTATGGCAGCAGGCGGTTATGTAAAGTAAAGAAAAAAATATTTTTTATTTTTATAAAAATGCCCCCATATAGAATGGATAGAAAGTCTGCTAGAATAAAAGCAGAGTTACAAAGATATGGTTGGAGAGTTTCGAAGAAGTTTAAATATAGGAAGGGAAGACCCATAAAAGTATCCATGAGGTCAAGAGTAGCTTTGGTAGCTTTAAGTGGAGCTATCTCTTCTTTGACTTGTGCAATTTTGGTTGCAATTGTGGTTTGAGCTCCTTCAAGTTCGCCGTCTATGTCGTTCTCAACACCTTCAACCATAGCTTGAAACTTTTCATCGGTCCATTGAGTTTGGTGTGGGACGAATTTAACTTGCTTCATTCAAAAAATGAAAAAAAAATGTTTTTACTCTAAACGTGCCATGTATATGGCTATAAGAAACTTACCAGAAGGCTTCTTCTTCACACGAGTCTCTGGTAACTTGAGAGTTCTTGTTGGAGTTGGGTCTGGAATTTCAATTCTTGCCACCATAAACTGTGTATTGACCGAACTTGCATTTGCAGGAAGACCGGTCACTACAAGGTTCACAGTTGAAATAGTTGTACTCATACCTGGTGAGTACGAGTGTGAGTAAAAACAAAAAAAAGTGAGTTAAAATGAGATGTTTACTGAATTGGTTGGATGTCGCCTTCACAGGTTATGTAGAACGGCTGACCAGAGAAGTGAAGGAGACCCTTGAGAATTTGGTTCATTCTGGGAAAGGGTTCTCTCTGTTTGGAAGTAGTATCCAAGGACGCTTGGCAAAGAACTTTATAATGGCTTCCTTCTTTGCTTGCTTTATGTCGTCGAAGGCTGTCCCGTCTGGTATTTGAATTGGAATTCCAGTCGAAGTCTCGAGATTCAAGGCAGCCCTTCCCGTTATCCAACCGTTAACAAGCTTGCCTTTTACATTCTGCCTGAGGAAGTCTTTAACAAGCTCGTTAATTTCAATTAGGTAAATTGCCTCGTCGGTAGGTTCGACCTCGACCATTGCTACTGTCAGTAAAAGTACTGCTACTGTCAGAAAAAGTACTGCTACTGTCAGTAAAAGTACTGCTACTGTCAGTAAAAGTACTGCTACTGTCAGAAAAAGTACTGCTACTGTCAGAAAAAGTACTGCTACTGTCAGTAAAAGTACTGCTACTGTCAGAAAAAGTACTGCTACTGTCAGTAAAAGTACTGCTACTGTCAGAAAAAGTACTGCTACTGTCAGTAAAAGTACTTTTTCTGACAGTAAAAAGGAAAATTTGAGAGAGTTTTCGACGATAAAGTACTGCTACTGTCAGAAATAGTACTGCTACTGTCAGTAAAAGTACTGCTACTGTCAGAAAAAGTACTGCTAGTAGCAGAGATTTTTATCGTTGTGGTCCGACAGGACACAAACGAATGTCCGACGTCCCACCAACCGAGTCCATTCCCAAACCAGAGGAACCTAAAGAACCACAACAGTCTCCTCAGCAACCTCAGTTCCAGCAAGTACCTCCGAATTACTACCCTCCTCAGCCTATGCCTTACTTCCCCAACCCTTGGTTGTTCCAGCAAGCTCCACCCCAGCAATTCCAATTCCAATCTCAATCGAAGAGAGACCAAGACTTCGAAGAAGGTCTGAACCGTTTACGCAAAGAGTATGCTACAGCTCCAATGGAAGATGACAGGCTTTCAGTCTCTTCCCTAAGGTCGACCAATTCGACTCGTACCACAGATTCGGTTCGTGACCGTGAAGACTACCTCAAGCAGTCTGAGAGACTCTTCATCTTACAGCCATTTACAGCTGGAGCTCTCAAGAACATGCGCAATTACGAAGGTCAGACACCAGCTGGAGACCGCAAAACAGACGTGCTTACAAGAGCAGTCCAACTGGTCAAGACAAAGACTGAGATAGTCGACTTCATTCTTGCAGCTTGCCCTTACAAGTAAAAAAATAAACAATTACGAATTAAACTTTTTACTCTTTCTTTTCTGAGTTGTTTAGAGCTGGTTTCTCTTGTAGAAACCTTTCGTACTCTTCCATGGTCATGTAATTGCGAATTTGGTACGCAATTCCAGGTTCGTTGTTTTTGAACCTTATGTATGTAACGCTTCCATCCTCCTCAGGGAAGTAAGCTTCTAACATCTGACCAAGTTTTCTCGGTGACTCGGAGCTCATTAAAAATGTCACTTTTTAAACGTTAAGTTTTTAGTCTTAATTTACCCTTTGTTTGTCAAGGTAGTATTGGAGCGCAATTTCTCCAAATTCTCTGTGTCGGAGTTCTTCAGCATTTTCCAAGGTGTACCTGGAGAACTCAAAGAAGTTGTCAAGAACATACTGCCATGCTGCTCTTCTGAGTTCGTCGATATTTTGGAAGTGTTGCACCTTCGAGTCTTCGGACATGAAAAAAATGACACTTTTTCTATTAAACCGTTTTGGCATTTCTCATGAGTGAGTATAGTTCTGCTGAACCATTGGAAGAGAAGAAGTACCCTTGCTGGCAAAAGACAAAAATAGTTGCCTTAGTTGTCATTGCAATTGTACTCGTAATTGAATTCATTGTACGTCTCTTCACGTACATAAAACTCAGCAATGGTATTTGCTTTAAGAAGCTACCATCTTACTAAGACTAAACACTTACATTTTTCAAGCTTGACTTTTTACAATTTGAACTTTGTTTGCGTAGATATGAATTCTGAAAGAAGTATGAGGGTCTTGTATGACTTTGTACTTCTCCCATAGTTCATGTCTGTCAAACTTACCTGCCATGGACTCTTTCATAAGTTCCATGAAATCGTCTTCGGACAATCCGGGGAAAAGTATTATGTCAGTAAGTATTCTTTTAACATCCTTACTTAAACTTTTTGCTGTCTGTACACAAATGACAACTGAGATGTTAAAGCGTCTGAGCTTCTTAAGAATTCGACACATATCTTGTTCTCTGTTCTTTAACAAAGGATGAGAGGCGAAATCATCTAAGATAAGAAGACATCTATGAGGGTAAGTCTTCCAATCGTAAGATTGCAATTTCTTCGAAATGTATTCTATCTCTTTCTGTTTGTTTCTGAAGTGTTTCTTCTCTAATATTCTCTGCATTTCCTCATTTGGGTCTTTAAACTTAGAATTTATATACTCATTTATAGCATTATACTTCAAAACTCTTCTTTGGTACTTCTTTATCCAATCTAACAACTCAGTATCCTTTATACATACTAACTTAGACTTCTTTATAATATCTTTGAACGAATTGACGGTTTGGTCAAATTGACCAGAAGTACTACAAATGACTACTAACTCATAGAATGGGTTCTTCTCATCTAGTTCTTGTTGTTGTGCAGCCATTTTAAGATAAGTGAAAGTCTTACCCGACCCAGGTGGTGCAATTAGACCTGTTATACCATTCTGAGCAAATAAGAACTTGTCATGTATAGGCTTTATCTGAGCATTTTCTAACTTCCCCTTGTTCTTGTTTAAAACATTCTCAAATTTCTTGTCAATGTCAGCAAACTTTTTTTCTAACATATTTTTAGAAAAATTAAAATTTTTATCTTTTAGAAAATGTCTAGCGATTTCGCTATCTATATTCGAGACAAGTTTTTGACAGCAAAACATCTGTCGACCATAAAATCTTACATAGTGTAAACAAGAAAGGTGAATTTGTTCTAAAGTTCTGTTTCTGGGAATATGACAAGAACCATAAAACATTACAAAGAGCAGTCTTAAAATTTGTCAATGACAGACTTGTTGACAGAGATGACGCCGATTGGAAAGATGAAGTCCAACAAAAGTTCTTAGAATGCAAAGAAGACACATGCGCTGTTCTTGAAGATGAAATAGAAAACAGAATAGATGAGCTATTAAAGGACAAAGAACTTTTACATAAATATGGTTCTGAGAAATTTGACGTCTCACCACCAGAGAAGAAGAAGAAAGAAAAGAAAGAGAAAAAAGTAGAAGAGAAGAAAGAACCAGAGCCAATTCCAGAGAAAAAGAAATTTGACATGTAAAAATAAAATTTTATTTTTAGAACATTTCTGGGTCAATGTCAATGTTCTCTTCCTCTTTAGGAGCAAACACTGGCTTAGACTCTAAAATCTTTTTACCCAATTTACCTTGAACTTCTACAACTTTAGACTCATAATATTCATAGTCGTCTGTCTTCTTTGGTTCATAAGGTATAACAGGTTTGTATGCTTTGCCTTCTTTAAGGTTTGAGAACCTTCTGTCAAAACTTTCTTTGACTGTTAACAAACCTTCTATGTCTAAGTCTTCAAATTTCGCACCATTTTTAGTCACAATAGCAAACTTAACTGGTTCGATGTTCCAAACTTTGCTGAATGAAGACTTTTCAAAATGGTAGAAGTAAACATTCAAATATGTGAATGGGTCTAGTTCTTCTTTAAGTCCTGACATGTACTTGTTTACTGAGATGAATTTCGTCATCTTTTCTATCGGATAAAAAAATTTTTTTTTAAATTTACTCAGAAAAATTTTTCTTTGTATATACACCATTCTGAACATCTAAAAGACTTTTGACATTTGCCAAGAATGTTCGTTTAGAAGCTGCCATATAACCATATTCTTGACAATATTGTTTATACAAATCATATAAAGACCTTTCATCTAATGACACAAAGTCGCTTTCTTCTATGAACAGTTCATATACACTCTTGTTTGCTTCTAACAATGTTTGTCTCTCTTCGGTATGTGGAATTTGTCTTGGATTGAACTTAGAAATATCTAATGTCATGAAATATGAGAACAAGTGGTTGTAAAAGTCAGATGTCAAAGTTTCTGCTAAGTCGTCAAAATATTCTGTATCTTGCATATGAGCTTCTGACGTTCTGACAACTACATATCTTCTGTCAGAACTTTCTAACTTCATCGGAACAGCATTGTTTGAAACCATAATGAAGTTTGCAACATTTTCACAAACTCTTTGGTCTTTATACTTTCTTTCAACAACTCCAACTTTGTCTGTTATAAGACTCTTCAAAGCATCTGAGTTCAAAACTTTTGTTGTATCTATACTTTGAAGTTCATTGCAAACTATAAGTTTCATATTCTCTATTGAGGAGTTAAACTTGCCACAGATGTTTTCTAAGTTTGTCATATTCGGATTCGAATACCTTCTAACAGTTTGCACAAAATATCTGTAAAGAAAGTATTCTTACCTGTTCCTTGTTTTCCAATTATAATGAGAGCAGTTTCATTTTTAGCACTTGGATGTTGTAAGATGTTTGCAAACCAACATAAGATATACTCATAACCTTTTCGTTTCCATTGCATATAATTTCTTTGACATGGTCTAACCAAGCTTCTATAATATTTTCTTTCCATTCTACTTGTTCGTATTTATATCCAGTGAAGATAGAATAGAAGTTTGGAGAAGGTGTATAGAACTTTATACCTCGAACTGAAAAAATCTTCTAACTTTGACAATAAGATATCCCAAGCATCTAACATCTTCATGCCAACTTGTACGACTTTTTTTTCTTAAGTTTCTGTCTACATTCTTGTTCAGAACTATTGTTGCTTGGTTTGTTAAAGACAACATCCCATTCTTTCATGACATAACATTCTGGGGCAGAGTCGACATAAATGACTAAACGTTTCAAATTCTCGACTGCTTTGTTATAGTCTCTAAATGGACACATATTTCTGAATGCTTGGAAGTCATAAAAATCTGAAACATCTATTCTGTATATTTTATAAAAATAAAAAAAAATATTTTTTTATTCTTGACTTTGTTGTTCCATTTGTTGCATTTGTTGTTCTTGAGCTATTTGTTGTTGAAGTTGTTCTTGTAATACAATACTTTCACCAGTTGCATCTTCCAATTCGAAACTTTCTGCCGTCATTGACAAATACATAGGACATAAAAGTTTTACAGGAACAAAGTTTGCGTCAACTAATGTCAACGTTATACTTGCCAAAGTGTTTGAGTTCACTAAGGTTGAAAATTCTGCATTCGAATGAACAATAGGCAAACCAGCAGAGAAAGTATTGTTTATACGCATAAGTATCTTTTGGTCATAATAGTTTCTGTCGACATTCGAATAACACTTTGAACCTAAGTTTGAAACAATATATAAGATTGGTGTGCTTAATGTCAATGGAATAGACATTCCTTGTATGACACCTTTTCCTGTTATAGGAAACTGTTGGTAGTAAAAACCAGAAATAAGTTTTGTATTATAGCTCATATCGTTTATAGTAAACTCAGTCGGACATCCAAACATAATGAAACCTGCTCTAGTTGCAGCACATGTTACACCCGTACTTAAAGTATTAAATAAGTCAACAAAACCTGTTGGTGGTATATCTGAGTAAGTATCTTCAAAGGAGTATTTTTTACCATTCACAACAATAAAGTCTTCTGGTGTCAAAAGAGCAAAACAGGCTTTAGTCGTCATTGTGTTTAAAGTTAGTTTACAATATCGTCCTTGAGGACTTTGTAAGTTTGTTGTTATAGAATTATATGACTCAGGGTTTTTAGTCGTAATAGTATAAACCATTATGTCTTCTGCCATTTACTTAGCAAATAAATTTTAATGAAATGTTGTGGTCGTCAAATATTTTTATAACGTCTGGGAAACTATATTTTAAGTTCAACGTTTCACCTCCTTTCATAACGTATATCTTGTCAATGACATTATATGAAACACCACAGCAACTAATGTCGGGTTCTATTTCTTTGATGTTTATATCGTCTGCCTCTGTCAAAAGTTTCAATAGTTCTTTCAAAACTTCATGAGGTGCAATGACATATGAGTTCACTTTTACAGGGTTGTGTTTCGACCAAGTTTAACATTATACTTAAAGCTTGACAAATCTTCTCCTGAGTTTGAAGTTTGTCTTTCAGTTGTTGGTAGTCGTTTCGAATATCTGCAACAGAACTTAAGTCTCTGCTAACTTCAGGATATGTTGGTTCTTTTACAGGAACAATTGTTATACCATCTTCGTCTTCGTATGGTTTCCCCACTTCAACATCTCTGTCTTTGACATTGACAACACTTTGACTGTTTGTTTGAGTTGGTGAATTTAACTTCACATCTGCCACCGCCATTAAACCTTTTGAAACACTTACGCTTCTATTTTTCGGAAATGACATTTTACTTAGAATAAAAAGATGGACGTATTCGGATATCTTTTGAATTGAAGCAGAACAAAGTTTACTCACAAACAATACAAATACATTGACAGAATAGTTCTTTACAACAAACAATGGAAAATGTTATAGAATAGCAATATTTGCTGAACCAAAATATTTTCATAAAGCAAAGAAAGTTGGTATAACTGAAATGGTGAAAGTTCTTGAAGCAGACAAAAATATAACTTCAAAACTTACAGAATATTTCTAAAGGAAGTTTATATACAATATTATGTCAAAACTGGCGTACTGTCAATATTTGACGGAGAGAAGTCAGTTCAAGAACAACTTACTGACCTGCTGCCAAAATCTGCTCGATGGAAGCTGTCGTTATGCCAATCTGAGGAGCCCCAGCAGGTTTCATCGAACGAATCTTCAAAAGAGCATCTTCCGTGAAAAGTGCTATTGGTTTTGTAAACTTCTTTGCTTCAATTCATCTGGACCGTCTCTGTCACCAGTATATTGTATTTGAACTGTACCAACAGTTGAAATACCACCCATAAAGTCTTCTGAGTCAGCAAATGGAATGCCAAGCCAAAAGTTTGAACGGTCTCCATTTGTATATTGAGTTTTTTGACCTCCTGTATGAGTCCATACTTTCACATATGGCATAATAGAACTTTGCATTTCAGGGTTAATGGTTGTTGTGAAGTTGTTGTTAAAGTTCATAGCATCTAATGTCAAGTTGTATGACCTCATATCCTCAACTGTAGAATATTCTTCTCTTGGATAATATTTGCCATCTATGTTTATATGATATTTAATACCAGGGTTGTAGAAACAAGAATAGTCATTTATAGTTCGTCTGAACAGTACAAACATAGTATCTGCATGTTTCATTGCAGTTGTTAAAGCAATATCTGTTCTTGCACCTGGTCTGGACTTTGGTTTCCAACTTCACCTGCAAAGTCTTTGACAGATATTTGGTGTATAGGGAACATAAGTGGAACTGCAATATATTTGGCAGCTAAAGCATTTGAAATATCTGGGTCCAACATATAGACTGCAAGTCTGCTTTCTATTCTCTTGCATTCAAATTTTTCGCATGTGAACTTAACTGGGTCCCAAGCAGTTCCAGCAGCATTGAAATAATAGTTTACTTCAGTGTTGAGTTTGAGAAACCAAAGTCTAAGTCAACTTTGTCTTTGCAAAATTCGGCGAATGACGTTTTATTTGTTCCCTTTACGTCTGTAAAGTGAATGGGTCTTGTGTTGGTGCAATGACTAAGTTATTTTTGCTTGGAGTAAGTTCGATAGAAATTTTTCCTGCCCAGTTTGGCAAGTATCTTAAAAACCTGAAGATGAGGAAAGATGACAAAGGAACTCTAAGTTTCAGTTTTACTTTAGTGGCAGCATTCCATCTGAACCAGAAAGGTTAACATAAACTCCTGGAACGTTAGGGTCAAGTCTTCTTATTTTCTCAATAGTTGCATACTGGTCTGTTTGTTCTCTAGCTTGTGGTTGTACTGAGTTTCTCAAAGCGAACCATTCATAGTTTGCCCATGTTACTGTTTGAACTAAGTCAGAGTTAGAATATATCTTATATCCCATGAAAACTTCTGGAGCATATTGGTATCCGACATAGAAAATTCCATTGCAACCTTTCTTGTCAGACAACTTGGCAGAAGGTTTTATTTCAATGTCTTGTTCCACGTATAAGAATGAGTTGTCAATAGAAATAATATGAAACCTGTCGCAAGCAATATCTACTGTTGTTGAAGAACCTTCTCCAAACTCACCTACGTTTCCATAAGAAACAGCAGTTGTATATTCGTAAGTTCCAGGAACTATTTCTGACCTTCTAATGGCATTGTCGCATTCGTTATACCATTCGGAAACATTTCCGTTCATGGCATCCAAAACTGTTGGCGTTATATTCTGAGCGGCGTACATTTCATATGGGTAAAAATATAGAATAGTTGGATTTATGTGTCATAATAGAACCCACTCGGACCAAGCTTTACTTTCTTCCTGACTGAGTTTTTAACTCTTCTTTTTCCTTCATTGCCACTACTTTCACTAGATGAAGTTACTTCTTCACTACTTTCACTTTGTTCTACTCTTCTCTTCTTCTTTGGTGTCGCTTTTGGTAACTTGCCCTCTGCTTCAAGTTGTTGCATCTTTGCCTCATGTTCACCTAGTATGTTGTAAATTTCCCATGTCCTTTTTGCCTTTGGGCTCTGGTCGCCCATCTCAGGTAACCTATATCCTAGAAAGATTTTGTCATAGTTTGTATTTGAGTCTTCGCGTATTGTTTGCATGACTCTTTCCTGAGTTTCCGGTTCAAGCTCTTCAAACAGAGCTTGTCCATATGGAATAAGCTCGTTTCCAAATATATATTTTTGTAGCCATTCTGGTTTTCTTTCCATGTTACCAATAATATCTTTTGTGAATGGGAAAGCTTTTACCCAATGTTTCAGTCTTGCGTCATTTATTTCTGTAGTTGGTTTTATTTTGTCAAGGAACATGTTTTTCAATACTAACATTTCATTTGGTACTGTCCATTTGAGTTTTCTTAAATATTCATCCCTTCTCGGTTCATTGTCTGCAAAGTAAGTTTTTATGACATTTTGCAAACTTTCGTTTGCAAGGTCATGTACAATAGGTTCTCTTCCTTCTCTCTCCCTAACTCTCTTTCTAAACTCTTCACCAAATATACCATCTCTATGGTTCTGTGTAGTTCTTTGAGATAAATGTTCTAGAACGTCAGGTGTTATATTTCCCAGCCATGTTCATTTCATACTGGTCCAAAATATCTGCATGTTTCATATCTTTCAATGGCATTAAAGCCGCGCTGAAAATACCAGCTATATCTGGTTCACCATTCACTTCCATTGCGTCTACAACTTCTTGGAATTGAGGTTGTAAGTTTATGAACCACCTATCCGGATTAGCTTTATGACCCCATCTCATTGTAGTTCCATAGTCTGCAGAAACAAAAGTAGGTTTGTTTCCATATTGGTTAGGTTCTGAATGAACTTTAAACAATGTTTCATTTCTATATGTTTTGTTGAAATTTAACCTTTTATTTTCACCGAGTTCAGCCAAAGATTGAACGTTATATGGTCGTAAGTAAAAAGGATTATTGTATTTGCGTACATTTCTTTCAGTACTTCCATTCTATGCTGAATATTTTCATCTGATGTTGGAGTCTTTTGTATGTCGGCGAACATTTTTCGATATTCTTCTACTATGTCAGCCGAATTTTTCTTAGACTCTTGGAAAGATTCCATATTCTCCTCATACTCTTGTTGAGGGTCAAGATTTTTCGGCTGTTCCAAATCTTCATCTAGTTCTGTGAAGTTAGTTTCCAAAGGAGGGACTTGTTCGTTTCCTTCAGGCTCTTCTAGCTGTTGTTGCTGAACTATTTCTTCCATGTCTGGTTGTATCTGAACTTCTTCCTGTGGAGTTTCTTGTACCTCATCTGCTGGCATTTCATATATTCCGAGACCGTTTTTAACAAGTTCCCTATCTAAGTCATCCGGACTCATAAACCTTTCTTCTTTCGTTCCGTCTCTATTTTTTACGCGTTTCATGAAGAGAGTTGAATTATCATTTAGCTCTGACACCAAATATCTCGGAGTAAATTCATTCATGTCATTTGGATGATATGCTATTAAATCATATCCCTTAGCGAGCTTGTATTTTCCAGGTTTGAGATTATATCCCATTTGATGCTGAACCATAAAGCTAAATAGGTTCGGGTCAGTATTTCCTTCCTTGAACTTTCTAATAGCTTCTTTATATCTGTCACTAAAGTCAAGAGTATCTGGGTAACCATAATCTTCCTTAAGCATTTTTAAGAATTCTTGGTTTCCTTTTTCTCTACTTCTTTTATGTCCTTGCTCTGTTTGTGGTTGTTGTTGTGCAGGGTTTTGAACTGTTGGTTGCTGTGCTGGTTGTGGAGGTGGTTGTTGTGCTGGTTTTGGTTGTGGTGCTGGATTTTGAACTGTTGGTTGCTGTGCAGGGTTTTGAACTGTTGGTTGCTGTGCTGGATTTTGAACTGTTGGTTTTGGTTGTTGTTGTGGTGCTGGATTTTGAACTGTTGGTTGTTGTGTTGGTTTTGGTGCATGCCTGTGTCTGTGTCCATGTGACGATGTAAATGTTTTAGGTAGTCCTGGTGCAGGTGCTTCTCTTGGAGGGTTTGGTGGTATATAAGTTCCACCAGCTGGCACATATGTTCCATCTGCAGCATAATGTCCTACCTGACTTTTCGTTTTTAAGAAAGCATTTACTAGGTCTGTTTTGGTCTGTTGTAACTCTTTTTCTTGACTTTCCACAACAGTTGCTCTAACGGCGTCATAGGCACTTTGAACTGCCTGTCTCGTTGCTGCATCTGTTATTTTCGTCATATTTTGTGCTACTTCTCTTAACTCTTTGTCGAAACCTTCAGACTTCAGTTTCTTTCCAGATGAGAAGTCGTTCACTAGTTTCACCTTACTATGAAGAGCTTCGAAGGCATTCTTAAAGTCAGCATTCATTAAAGCTTCATTTGAACTGTCTTCATCCGCTTGTATTTTTGTCCTTATTGACCCTATAAGTTGGGCTGCTTTAGCGTTGGCTTGGGCATCTAACCAGTCATTATTAGCTTTTATATATTCTGCGCTTTTCATTGCCTTTTGCATGGCTGCGTCGTTATTTTTACTTTCTTGTGCTAAGTTTTCATACTGTACGGTTTGGTTTTGCAACTGTAAAAGTTTTTCTGCCTTTACATTTGCTTCAACTTCTTTTTTATACTCATCGCTATCCATATATGTCTTCATGGCTTTTTGTTTTATCTCTTCATCTTTCAGTACTTTATATTGAGTAGTATGGTTTTTCAAATTTATAACATCTTGTTCCATTTTTGCTACTTCTGCTGCTTTTTCTGACACTTTTTTGCATATTCCTCTGTACTTAGTTCTTTCAGTTGTTCTTCTTTCTTCTTTTTCTCTACGTTTAACTCATTGAGTTTCTTTGTGTGTCTGTCATATTCTAGTTTCTTTTCGTTTTCACTTATTTGTTTCTGTATGTCTATGTTTGACTTTTTGACATCTGTTATTTGATTTTTGAGTGAACTCAAATTCATTTGACTTTGAGGGTTATAAGCTGTTCCGTCTGCAGCTCCACCATAGCCTGCCATTTTCGCTAAAAGTGCCGCTCTTAAACCTCCACTCTGTGCACCAATAACTCGGTTTAAAAGCATAGGGTTGCTTGACATTTGTTGCAACATAGTGGGGTCATTCATCATTTGTTGTTGCAACTGTTGTTGTGGTGTCAGTTTTACTATTGGATGTTTCAATGCTCCCTTCCTCTTACGTATATTCTTACGTAGCTTACGTGGCATTTTAAGTGAAGTTAAAAAGCGGTTTTTGACAGATGTTTATATGACACTTTTTGTTCAGCACAAAAAACTACTCGGTCAAAGTGTTGTCGGTTTTGTAAAATAACCGTCCTATCTCATTCTATAAGGGAGAAAAGGCTTCTCAAAGTATACTTCCTTGGAACGCCTGTAACTTTTCCTGTAGCGACGATAGACCCTTACTTGTCCGGACAAAGTTATACTATTTTGAGCGCTCTACAAAAAAGTCAACGGCGACGACTCTCAAAAACCGTTGTGTAAAAAGTTTTACCGTTGGACAAAAAAGTATATATAGAAAACAAAAAACGTTTATAGTTCATTCAATATTTGAGATGGAACGGTTTTCCAACGGTAACTATTAAATAAAATTAAAAAAATAGAGGGGTTTCCGTTGACGAAAACGGTTTATTTTAAACTTTTCTATGAGTGGTCCGAAAAAAACAGTTCATTTTTCATAATGGAAGGAAGAAAAAGTGTCGCAAACAATTCGTCGACTACCTCTGCAGTTAAAGTTCCTTCAACTTATGTCTCACCATTCTCAAAACCCTTACGACCTCCTATAATACCAAAGCAACTTCCTCATACAATTCAAGACAAATTGTCCAACAATTTGAGTTCTTCTTCTTCTCAAAACACAACAGAAACATCTGAAACAGTTGTCCAAATAGCACCAGAACAAGTTTCACATAGTTCTACAATTCAAGACAAATTGTCCAACAATTTGAGTTCTTCTTCTTCTCAAAACACAACAGAAACATCTGAAACAGTTGTCCAAATAGCACCAGAACAAGTTTCACATAGTTCTACAATTCAAGACAAATTGTCCAACAATTTGAGTTCTTCTTCTTCTCAAAACACAACAGAAACATCTGAAACAGATTTACAACCAATAGAACAAGATATAGTCTCTCAAACTACAAGTATGTTAACAAGAGCACAATTTCAAGATTTAATTTCTCTTGAACAATATTCGAGTAACGAAATACAAAGCGACGACTGTAACCTCTCGCTACCCGAATCCATTCAAAGAAAATACGCCATGAAAAGACTGAAATTGTTGTATAAACTTCTTAACAATTGGGGGTCGAAAACAACTCAGATTATAGTGAAATGTTTAACAAAGTCATAGAATCTCTTAAACCAATTGAAAACGACATAAAAAATCCCAGTGTTCTTGTAGACCTTTTCGCCTCAAAATTACCAGTTACAACTAATCTAATAGCAACACAAGCTATAGAGCAATTTATTTTATGTTTTCCCAAGCAATATAGACAACACCTGAGGGAAACAAGAATAGGAAAATTTCAATTGGTGTATCCTACAACATACAACTATTACGAAGAAGCAAATGAATATGGAGAACTCTCATTCCATTTCACACTTTCAGTTCCTGAGGGAGAAGAAAAAGCAATCTATCATGTACAATCTCTTGCAGGATGTGAAGGAAAACCTCACATAATAACTACTGTTGCAATTGAGAAACCTGCAAGAGTCGAAGACGATGTTTTATTCGCGTCCATTGCTGGTTTTGGCATGGGAGAACCAATTCCAATTTCCCATTTCACAGAATACTCAGCACAGCATTTTCAAAATGTAGAATTCGTGTTCTACGACCATCAAAAGTTCCTGCTAACAAAACCAAAGAAACAATTTGTCTGAATATTTGTTGCTGGTCATGTGGCTGACAAAGAGCCATCAGATACTGACTATGAAGAAGAGGAGGAGGAAGAAGAAAACGATAGCGATGTCGTTCTTATCGAATAAAAACTTTAATTTTTTACTATATAATTTTTTTAGTTCTCCTCTAGGTTTTCTTATGGGCTAGAGGGCACGAAGTGCCTGGAAGCCCCACTTACCTGACCTATATGATATATATAATATGATATATATAATATGATATATATAATCTTATAAATATAATTATATTAATTATTAGCAAAAATGGCTAAAAATTTGGTGCAATTGTTGACATTTTGGCTAAGAATTGGAGGATGTAAGTGCTATTATATGAAATAGTATCTCACACCCTCCAATTCATCCTATTACGCCGAAAAATTTTTGGTGAAATTCGACGACAAGTACCTTATTCACATGATTTACTATGAGAAGGCACCAGAAGCTCCCTTATATATTGACGTCTGTATTGAGCTTCTATTCCTTCCCAAACATAATCCTTTTCGTCCTCCCATTATAAGGGAATGAAAAGGTCATTGTCATGATCCTGATCTGCTTGTTCCTCTTGTTCGTATTTTTGTACTATTCCTTGTTGTTCCATATATGCTTGCTCTGCTGTTGTTTCGTTCTCATTCATGATCATTGACTCTAAAGAGGACATGTACCTTCTGGACGCTTCCATTAAAAAAATATGTCAATTTATCTGAAAAATAACGTATTGTGATGGGCCCACTGGACGCAGGCCAGTGAGCACTCACAATATATACTGTACCATCACACCCTCCAATTCTTCCTATTTCGACGAAAAATTTTAGGTGAAATGCTAATCTTGTTAAATCTTTTCTTTTTATAATGGGTCGCTTACGTTTTGGCGTCGCGTGGCGTCGCGATGTAAACTATTCAATTTTGAGAAGCTTACACTGTTTTTTCAAAGGTTTATGGCGTCGCAAGGGCAAAATTGAATAGGCCGTTGTCGCCAATGTAATGTTTATTTTTGACATATAATTAAATTTTTTTAATAATTTTCCCATCATATCATTAAGCTATAAATATAGTTTCATGAAGAAAGCGGGGAAATTTTCTTCATAAGGAGCAAGTTCTTACCAAAAACGAGAAATTTTGCTCGATATTCTTTCGCATTTCGAGCAAGTTTTCTCGTTTTTGGTAAGAAACCAAAGGCTGTGAGGCACTGATAATGCATTTGAATCCATAAGTAAAAAAAACATAATTTTTTATTCAATTGCCACGTAAACCTTGGCAAAAATAAACTTTACATTGGCGACAACGACCTATTCAATTTTGGCCTTGCGACGCCATAAACCTTTGAAAAAACGGTGTAAACTTCTCAAAATTGAATAGTTTACATCGCGACGCGATGCCAAAGTACTTTTTTCCTTTTATAATATGTATAATATACATGTCATGTAAATATTAAATTTATCAATAAAATGAATTTTTAATTGGCGCCAAACGTCACTTTTCGTTATTACTATTTTCGGTATAAGATAATCGAAATACAAATAACAACGCGATTCCATGATTGCTACCAAAGAGAGATTCCTTAAGTTCGGCGATACAATATCCCAAATGGAACATATATATGGGATCAGCTACATGTACTATAGGAAGGTCATCTGTGAAAAGTTGCGATCCATTACGTAATCTACATTTCAATTGGATGTCGTTGAGAGCTGAGAAAGTTCACAATTCTTAACTTTCTTACATTATTGGATATTTGGATGTTACTTGTCAGATGATCGAACGCAAACATAAGAACCAAAGTACAATAGGCATGTTGAAAACGAAAAGAATAAAAACAGTTTTGTGAAAAGTGACAATTTTGTGTGGCAAAAAATCATTTTCACAAAAATGAGAGAAACTTTGGCTGATTAATAAGTTATTGAGCCAAAGTTTATCCCATTTTTTGATAGAATAGGAGGCTATGAGAGACTGATGAAAGTTAGTATCTCATAGCTTTCAAAATAAAATGGTTTTAAATATGAAATTGAATAAATTTAGCCAAAAATTGAATAGAAACTTTCAAAAAAATCTCAAAATTGGAAAAATCAAGGAAAAAACTACAAATTTGATATAAAAACATATGATTCATTAACTTCTTTATTTATAAAGTATAATTATTTATAATTTAAATGAATCATTGAGTATGAATTGAGAGTTTTATAAAGATTGCAAAAATTAAAATTAAATCAAAATAAGCTTTTCATGAAAGAAGTTTACGGTTGCAATTTGTTAGTGCATAGCATTGCAATTGTAAACTCCATTCTTGAAATGAAATTCGTTTGCGACATTTTACATAAAAAATGGAAGTTTTTGAATGTCACAAGTGAAAAATATTTGTAATGAGTGGAAATGGAGAGAAAAGAATTCATAGATGACGATAAATATTTGATTGTGATGGTAGAATTAGATCCACAATTAGATCGAGGATTACGAGAAGAAATGCCGCAAAGAAACTTAAAGAATCTTTCAAGATTATCAGATAAACAAATTGAATCACTCACTAAACAAACAGGAATGCACTTTGAGGGTGAAGATATCGGCAATAACCATGAAAGAAACAATCAATTCTTGTAAACGAAAATAGAGGATTTGACGCAGTGGAATGATTCCAATTTTTCCGATAATTGGAAGATCCCCTTGACGCAGTCAAATCCTCTATCGGAAAAGTGGATTTACATGGCAAATTTCAAATGTCTGTAAGGTCCACTTTGAGGGTTTAAAGAAAGAATTGGAGGCTATCAGATACTGACATTTCATCAAAGTTTCTCCCATTTTTAGTGAAACTGAAAGGGTAAGATGTATATAATGATCCTTTATACCTCTTAGCCTTTCATTTTCACTTAGATGTCAGCAAAATTTGAGTTAATTGCAAACAATTACTTCAAGGTTTGTTGCCCTAATGAAGGAATTGGAGGGTATGGATACCTATTCATACTAATTCCTAGAGATACTGAAATTGAATAAGTTCCTAGGAGACCCCACTTCTCTATATAAAGCTGAGAAACTTTGAAAAAGATTGTTCGACATTTCCTTAAAAAGTGTCATCGTTATGTCAAACCGTTTTTATCGTTTTCGTTTACAATATCTTTGATCTACAAAATGTCCTCTCAAAATTACACATTCTCAGTTCCCTATACATTTTGAACGAAGCTCTCTTTTGTCTTTTTTTTAATAATAAATTTTTTGCTGTTACTTTTAGCTATTTTTTTGTTTGCCTATTCAAACTAAAATGACAATGTTTCGATAATTTATTATACATGTAATGAAAACGTTAATTAATTGATTGCCACTTTTATATATATAAATGAAAATAATTTTTAACTTATAAAGTGCCAAGATTATTAGCAAAGAGTTATTTATTTGTGCATATACATTTGTATATACTAGTGTATTGTAACAGTTAATATTACAAATAAAGATTCGTTTTACTTTACGAGTTTCAAATTTAGATCTAACATATTGAATATCTTTCAAATTAATATGACAAATACATTTTTATACACTATTAATTCTAAGTCGTTCAGTAATTGTGTTGCATCTCCATACCTGAATATAATATTTCTGTTCTAATTTCATGTCTATAAACTATATTAATAGTAGCCAAATAATATTTATATAATTATTATTTAAAATTGTTATTGGAGTAGAAAGAATTAAATAAACTTCACAAAATTAGAAATTCTAATTTTAGGTTTCAAAATTTTTAGTTGATAAGCATTATGATTTCTTATTTCATTGTTAACAAATTTTTAAAGAGGCAAAATAAGTACACAACAAAACAGGAAGAATGAACTAATGAATTACATATTAAATTATGCTTTTCAATTTGGGATCAATTGGGAATTACCATGGCTTCCCATGTAATGGGAATTGGATCCAAAAAATTTGAAAAATAAAATACGATACTAAAAAGTATAAAATTTTTATCAAAAATTACATTTTAATTTTTCCTTGGAATTTCTCATATATTCAACTCTATTTTAAATCGGGAAATATATAAGAAAATGATAATTATGTTACAGGGATTGATGTATTAGAATAATGAGCTATATTCGATATCTGTTTACCAAAATTTCCCAATAACCGTCAAATTTTCACCATTTCTTTTCAAAAACCGTCAAATATTTGCCAATATTTACCAATATTTCTATGCATTTTACCAATTCTTATTCAAATTTATTCACTTTTCCCGATGAATGCTTTGAAAGGTGAGGCATGATTGCAAATTGAAAGAGTATTGAAAAAAAGTAAAAGGTTTATATTAAATAATTGTGGACAAATTGTAGATGCAAAGAAAGCTAATGAAGAATAAATATGAAATATATGAAAAAAATTATTTAAGTAAGAAGATAATTGTTTATTCTTAATAATTAAGAGTCTGGCAGAAATTGCTAACTAAGGCTCTCATGTAAGTTTGGTGATCAAAGATTTGCTGCTAAAAATAGTTTACGAAGCAGTTTCTCTATAGGTTATTATTTGCGATTCTGTAATGCACAATAAATCGGTTGAACTCATTTTTGACACTTTACAATTTTTTAAAATATATTATAATCATATTATTTATATAACATAAATTAAATTTATCATTTTTTTATTTTGAATAAAATTTTCAATTACTTAATCCATACAATTATATTTTTATTTTAAAATATTAAATGATATTTCATTGTTTTTTAAATCAATAATCAATAACTTCACAAAAAGTGAAAAAAATGGCTGATCAAAACCATGAACAAGAACAAAATCCATATATGATCGCGTATATGGATTATATTATATCGAAAAAGACAGCAGATGAAGTTGCCAAGGACCTCCATATTGGCCGTAGAAAATTAATTCAAGAATGGAATAATCTTGGATTGCAACTTAAAAAAAGAGGCGGTCAAGAAAAACCATACAGGGAAGACATAGTCCCTATCATACATACCGAAAAAGCAAAATTTAATCTCGGATACAAAAAACTTTTCGAAAGTTACATCCACGATGAAGATGTAAGTTATAACGATTTACGAAAAATATATGAAAGGGAAGGACTATTTAAATTCCGTCGCAAAAAAGAAAAAGAAGACAAACATCCTAATCAATATGTCGCAAAATTCGTTAATCAGCAGTGGCACACAGATTTGAAGAGTTTTAAAGAAACTATTAACGATAGAGTTCACAAATTTTATTTAATCGCGTTCATTGATGACCGTTCACGATATTGCATATATTTCGAAATATTAGAGAACAAAACAATGGAGAGTACATCGAGAGCTTTACAAAACGCAATCGATTACATTCATATCGTTCCATACGAAGTTTTATCTGATAATGGAACAGAATTTGTCGGCAGACTTTTCCAAGATGTACTCAAAAGAAATGGTATAAAACACCACAGAACAGAGCCGTACAATCCACAACTCAATGGCAAAGTGGAGCGTTTCTGGCAAACAATTTTCTCAGCGCGCAACGAATTTATTTCAATTAGAGAACACATTCCGGCAGCAATCAAATCATACAACGAAGAATGGGTACACACATCCTTGAAAAAACTATACGGAGGGTCACCAAGACCGAAATCTGTTTGGGACTCAGAGCCCAAATGGAATGAAACCATGGATCCAGAACCTGGCTTCGAGGTAGAACCCAGATAATATACAAATTTTGGAATAAAAAGTTTTTTATATAATTTATAATTTTTTTCTCGTTTTTTTTTAAAATACACAATATGTATAATTCAGTATATGTTACTGTTTCATGTTTGAATATGAAAAAATTTCAAATACTTGTGAATATGGGACAATTGCAGCAATTAAAAAAAATTGAGCTTTAGACGAAAGTTTGTTGAGTAAGAGATACGGGCCAAGGGTCAATACCTTCCAAGCATACGTTTCAACTCAGAAACTCATAAAGTTAGTCTGAATAACTTAACATTTCAGGTCAAATATCTCGTTAGATAAAAAGAATTAAAGAATGGGAGGGCCTTGGTTTATATAAGTATCATAAAGCCTATAAAATAAAGAAAGAAGTTAGGAATTTGATTGAGAGAGATATATAATTTAAATGAATTTTTAGCCATTTTGGCTGGGAATTGGAGGGTGTGAGTACTATTCCATGAAATAGTTTCTCACACCCTCCAATTCTTCCTATGGCGTCGAGAAAATTTTGGTGAAATGTCGTCGCATTTCACCAAAATTTCTCGACGCCATAAGTATTTTTTTACATATCTATTTGTTTCGAATCAAATTCTATTATCCCATAATACTATAATTTTACAACAAACCCTAATCCAAAATTTGCCATGTAAATCTTTTTTGGCATGTAAACTTGTTACTTTTTGTCAAAAGTGAAGTCAACCGAATTTCTATGCACAACAAATATGACTGTTGATTTGAGTGAGTGTATGACTGACCGTTTTAATGACAATATGACTGACGGTTTGAGTGACAATATGAATTACGGTTTTAGTGAGAATAAGACTGATAGTTTGTGTTCCGTACCGAAAAGAGGAATAAGGAAAAGTGACAAAAAGTGACACAAAACATTAAATTTGGCGCCAATTTTAAATACTATATATTATGATTTTTTGGTGAAAAAAGTATTGCTGTAAAATAGAGTTTAAAATTAAAAATATATTGATGGTAAAAAGTTTAAAAATAATAATAAAAAAAGATTTTATGATTGGTAATTGGAGGGTGTGAGTACTATAGCATGTAATAGTATCTCACACCCTCCAATTCTTCCTATGGCACCGAAAAATTTTTCTTAAATTTAAATAGAGTAGGTGACAAAAGTGCATACTCTTAAATTAACCTTAAATGTTGATTTTTCGATATTTTCGGTATTAACCTTATTGTAAATTTTTCCGGTGATAAATTTATCACACTGAGGTTATTTTTCCGGTGAGATTTTTAACCTTGATTTAATGAAATTAATATATATAAATTTTATTATTTTTAATTTCGAATGAGTATAATAAAATATTTTTTATGTGTTTTTGTTTTTGATGTGATTTGAATTTTGTTAACTCTTTTCAAAATCACTTCATTTTTATGATTTCGGTGGACTTAGAGGAGCTTATTGCTTTTGGTATTAAACAGGAAGTCAAGGGCGGTGTCCCATACAGAAGAAGAACGGGATCTCCAAAGCAATATGTCACTTATTCATGTTCGTATCCCCTATGCAAGGCAAAATTTAGGGTTGAAGAACAAAATGGAGTGTTTACTATAAGCAAAGTTAATGAAGAACATTGCCATCATATAGGAGTTGAAATGGGTTCACATTACGCGAGTAAATTTTATCAAAAATGGATCGAACTTTATATTAAAAACGGTGGAAAGCAATTTCTTGCTCAAAAAGCATTTTTTGATAAGTTCGGAATTGATACGAATAACAAAGAAACGATGAAACTTTTCGCGCAGTCTACTGATGCTTTAAAGCACAAATTTTATCGCCTTGATGAGATTATTGCACAAAGATTATCAAACGATCCTTACACTTCTTTGGAAGCATTCTTGAATAATTTACAGGAAGAGTGCCCAGATGATCTCGTTCAATTTGATTACAATGGAGATTTTTCCGAGTTTACAATCATATATGCACCTTTTGCTGCAAAAGAATTGGTGCATAGCATTGATAACCCTCTCCACGTCGATTCCACTCATTCTTTAATTAAAGGAAAGATCCAATTGTTTGCAGTAACAATGAAAACAAGTCAAAACACAATTTTCCCCTTTTGCTATTTTTTAGTGAACCCTCAGACATCTGAAAAAAATTCAAGAATGTTGGGTGAAATTCTGTGAGTTTGCGCACCTGGATCCACAGCATTGGAGCGCTGACTGTGCGCTAAACATTGCTCGCGCAATTGAGGACGGATTTCCTCTTGCGCAGCTCAGTTGGTGCGCTGTGCATGTTTTACGTGCATGTGCAAAAGTTGGAAGCTATTTTGACAATCCACAGAATTTTGAGAACTTCTATTTAGCAATGGACTTTTTGACATTACGTGCAGATGCAACGAATGCAGAAAAGCTGGCTGAAGAGTCTGATGAAACATATGAGTTCTTGACAACAATGTTAGAAGAAGAAGAACCGCGCGCTTTGAAGTATTTCGATAAACAATGGAGAAGAACCAAAGAACATTGGATGATGTTATATCGTGGAGAAGGTGATTCCACGAATAACATTGCGGAATCACACTTTCATCAATTAAAGCAAACATTTTTCTTGGGTAAGAAAAATGAGCGCATTGATGACATCGTCATAACTCTCATCACTGTTGTGATTCCAAATGCGATTATTAAGGTTCAAGTCGCTAATGTTTTGAATGAAGAAAGAGCAGTAAGAATTCTTACAAGGGCAGGTAATCAGATTGTTGAGCAAAGAGCTTCAAAACACGATGAATGTTTGAAATTAATTCAACACATTTTGGAAATTGTCGAAAGCCGAAGGATTGAACCTAATGTCCTTATTTCATCTTTGAAGGCAATATTAAATTTGGCACAAAGAAGTTTAAAGGAAGAGTAAGCAAGATTAGATAATTTGGACTTTTTTTAAAATTAATGAATAAACAGTATATTTTTGAAGTGTAAGCTTATTTACCTGAAGCTATATTACTTAATATAGCATTCAAAGTATTATTGCTATTTATTGGAGAACAAATTTATGTAATTTTCACATGAAAATTGATAAATTTGTATTTCCTTATGATAATCAATTTTTGTATTTGTAGAGAGTCTCCCTGCATGATATCAAGACTTGGCTATTAGTCTTTATCCATTTTTGAAAATTGTATTGTAAATTGTAAGAATTTCTGAATACTACTACTATAAAATATAATTGCTTATCAATGTATATTCTCCCTGCATGATATCAAGACTTGGCTATTAGTCTTTATCCATTTTTGAAAATTGTATTGTAAATTGTAAGAATTTCTGAATACTACTACTATAAAATATAATTGCTTATCAATGTATATTCTCCCTGCATGATATCAAGACTTGGCTATAAGTCTTTATCCATTTTTGAAAATTGTATTGTAAATTGTAAGAATTTCTGAATACTACTACTATAAAATATAATTGCTTATCTATGTATATTCTCCCTGCATGATATCAAGACTTGGCTATAAGTCTCTATTCATTATGAGTATGACCCCATTTTTTTACAAAAAGTGCCGAATTGCAACTTTGTCCCAATCTCAATTTAAATATTATTAAATCTTTTATTTTATTTAACAAACTCTAATTTAAATGTTATTTAAATATTAAATTTATTAATAAAATGCATTTTTATTTATAATTTAAAATTGGCGCCAAATGTCACTTTTCCTTATTCCTCTTTTCGGTATGAGATATAAGACTGATAGTTTGGATGACAATATGACTGACGGTTTGGCAGCCTCTATGACTTACGGTTTTATTTAGAATATAACTGAGAGTTTGGGTGACAATATGACTCATAGTTTAAGAGAGTGTATGACTGATGGTTTTAGTGAGAATAAGACTGATAGTTTGACTGACAATATGACTGACGGTTTGACAGACACTATGAATTAGCTTTTTATTGAGAGTAAGACTGACAGTTTTGGTGACAATATGACTGTTGATTTGAGTGAGTGAATGCCTGACAGTTTGACTGACAATATGACTTCGGTTTGACAGCCTCTATGACTTAAGGTTTTATTTAGAATATGACTGAGAGTGTGGGTGACAATATGACTGTTGATTTGAGTGAGTGTATGACTGACAATTTGAGTGACAATATGACTGACGGTTTGACAGACACTATGAATTAGCTTTTTAGTTAGAATATGACTGACGGTTTGACAGCCTCTATGACTTACGGTTTTATTTAGAATATAACTGAGAGTTTGGGTGACAATATGACTCATAGTTTAAGAGAGTGTATGACTGATGGTTTTAGTGAGAATAAGACTGACAGTTTTGGTGACAATATGACTGTTGATTTGAGTGAGTGAATGACTGACAGTTTGACTGACAATATGACTGACGGTTTGAGTGAGTGTATGACTTACAGTTTGACTGACAATATGACTGACGGCTTTAATTAGAATATTACTGACAGTTTGAGTGACAATATGACTGTGGTTTGACAGACACTATGAATTAGCTTTTTATTGAGAGTAAGACTGACAGTTTGACTGATAATATGACTGACGGTTTGACCGACAATATGACTGACGGTTTGACAGCCTCTATGACCTACGGTTTTATTTAGAATATAACTGAGAGTTTGGGTGACAATATGACTCATAGTTTAAGAGAGTGTATGACTGATGGTTTTAGTGAGAATAAGACTGATAGTTTGAGTGACAACATGACTGACGTTTTGACTGACAATATGAGTGACGGCTTTAGTTAGAATATGACTTAGAGTTTAGCTGACAATTGGCTGACAGTTTGAGTGACAATATGACTGAGAGT